ACTTCCCCCCCCCCCACACACACAACCCCCTTTAAAAAAAAGTTAAATGTGTTTTTTTTTAAATTATAAATCGCAATGGTTATTTATTATTATTACATAATAAATAGGGGAAAATGTAAAGTTTTGTCAGCCCATTCACCACTTAGCTTGACAGAATAAGCAGACAGAGCTGCAAACTGGGATTTTCAAGAGTCAAGAAGTCCCCTTGCATATTGCCACTTTGCTTAACAACTTGGTTTAGGCCAGTACAAGTTCATGTGACTACTTAATTGTAGTGTTTGGTACATTTTAATATGATTAATTTTGTTAATTTAATAACTTTGTATAAACTTTAATCAAAAATTAATTGCAAAATATCTTCTGCAATTTCTTTCTAAAGAGAGAGCATATGCAATTATAACAACATAATTACAATAGCTGTGTGAGTGTGTGTGTAATTGATAATCATGCTGAAAAATAGACAAAAATAAAATAATATTATTTAGACAGCACAATCATTAGTATCTGATAAAGATACAAGTAAAATGAACATTTACATATATTATAGCAATCAATGTTAAGATTAAAAACAAGACCAAATGTAATTTGTGTACCAAGACCAAATATAATATTAACATAAAATATTAAATAATCTTTTTTTTTTTTTTAAACTCATTTAAATCAGTTAAATTTTTTACATCTCATGTAAATAAAAATTGATTTTATTTTGATAATAAAAAAACAATCTTTAATTCTTTTTTTTTTTTACAACGTGCTTAAACTTAATGAAAACAAATTGGATTTTGTTAAGGGAACTAACATAATAATTTGCTTATTGATATTGATCAGGTGTTTCTAGATCAAAAAGTAATTTTTTTAGTGAACCTATCATCCCATACACCAAAAAAAGACATCTCTTAACCATAAGGGCCTCAATATAGTCAGAATTAGCATCATATCCAAGTACATGCTGATCAGTGAATGAAACTTGAAACTACCCAAGGCACTGATCCTAATCTGAAATGTCAGTTACTTCACCATCTGTTTTTTTCAAATTTATCTTATTTTGTATGCTTATTTGTGGGACCGACCAACCTTTTTTTAAAACAAAAATCTGCCTAATTCAATGTTTACACTTAGATACAACTTTGTAAGTTCACTCATCAAAGTTGATAGGTTCAAGACAAGTTGTCACCAAGCAATATTAATATAACAAGTATAAACTAACTCACTACATTAAAACTCACTAATGTACATGGAGCCAGCTGCTATCATTCATAAGCTAGATAATGCATGTCAGTTAGTTTGGCCAATAAGCCAATATTTTTACTATTATTACCAGGAAAATCCCACAATCCACAGTCTGTAGCCGTAGACAATTTATGAATCCATTTAGTTTTGAGATTGGAATCAGCTTCAAATATATACTTTTAGACCTACCGTATTGTAGATTATGTATTACTTCTATTAGTAATAGAATAATATTAGTAATCACTGCAGAACATACCAGTGTGATATGTGCCTACATAGCAAATCCATTTTTGTAGTAAAATGTATGGCTAAGTCTAAGACATGAAATAACAGGGTTAGTTGCCATTGACTTAGCCAACATGTCCTGTCATTGCTTTACTTTACCTCTGCTGCTTCACTGTAAGGCAAGCTGTGCCATAAATTGACAGAGGAGATTCTATACTCAACAGTTTAAATTTTACAGAAGGCTGGTTTTGTATGTAATCTCTTTTCCCAGACACTAACTTAACTGCTAATTATTGGTTTGGAATTGATTTAATTTATGATCTAAGCTCACCATCCTTCCAGCTGATGGCTTGAAAGTTGTCCTTTAAGCAGGATTGTGGGATTCCTATATCACTAGCAAATTAGTTTACTGGAGTCAAAACAGCTGCTTTTAAACCCCCATTCAATATTGTATAATGTTCATATCGTAAGTGTGTGGTTTACATAATCAATCAAGACTCCTTTATTATTATTCAACTTTTTCTATCGTAGCCACTACCCCACTACATTACTGTTAAAGGGAACTTTTTAGTAAATGTCTGGTCAAGTGTAATGAGTGACATTATGAATTTCTAGTAATGACTGTAATGTATTGATTTTTGTTAAAGATAAATATAGAGATCAGCATCTAGTTAACAGAAAATAATTTTTGAACAAAAAAAATATATTCAAGTTCTAATAAAAGTTGCAAAAACAAAGTAAACATTACCCACTAATACAATATATTATATAGCTTATATACGGGTAATTTAAACTATGGAGGTGTTGATTTAGATCAGGGACAATGTATTCACCCCCTTTAAAGCTAAATTTACTGTATTTAAACAGTTTCTAATATATATGAGATTTAGTCATTAATTAATCAAAGCTATATAAGTACCGGGTAATAGTAATGGTAATTCAATTCTAATATGCTCTATTGTCAAG